AGTACAGAATCCAGAACTTATTGGTGGACAAGATCAAACATCAAAAGTGACCTAAATATAAATTGAGGGCCTGTGTCCTTATTCTGGTGGATATTGCATCTCTCAACCATTTTCAGCAACAAATCAGAAAGACTACATTCTGATCCAGTTGTCCATTCCCATCCAAGAACATCAGCATTCACGCATGCACAGTGAGTTCCTGCCAAGCTGTAGAGGTCTGTATCTAATCACAGAGACAACTCAAGGTATAGCTGGTGGGACAGTGGTTGGTGGGAACTGAGGAGGACAGGAAAGCATTAAAAGAGCAGGAGAAAGAGCTGGTGGAGCGTCATCACTGGAAATTATGAAATTGTATTTAAAATTATTTCTTGGGATATAATTCACCAAATTCATGATTTCAAGTACCGAAATGTGAATTAAAAACAACACATTTCCCAACAGAAAATACCACTACTCTGTGTGTGTGTGTGTGTGTGTGTGTGTGTGTGTGTGTGTGTGTGTGTGTGTGTGTATACAACTTGAACTCAGGACCTGGGTACTCAGTGTCCTTTAGCTTTTTCACTTAAGGATAGCACCCTTCCACTTAATCCACAGGGCTACTAGCATCCACAGGGCTAGCATTTTGCTAGTTTGTTGGAGTTAAAAGTCATGGATTTGTCTGGGCTACTTGGCATGGAATTGTGATCCTCAGATCTCAGCATCCTGAAGAGTTAGGGCTAGAGGCATGAGCCACCAGCACTTGGCTAGTTTCTAGCTTCTAAATGTACCTCATATTCACTGATTATCATCTTCATACCAGTTTTACACCTGGCTAAACTCACAAAACAAATCTTACTTAGGAAATGAATAAAGCAACAAAGGAAAGAGCAAAGACAACTACCTTTAACAATTTCTGTATAGTCCTATTTCAACCAATCTTAGATCCACAACATTTACAATACTGACATTTTCCTTTAATGAAAAAGGACAATATTAGTAAATTGTGAATTAGAAAAATAAAGGATAGAATTAGCAAAACACAGTTTGACATCTTATGATCAGGCACATTCAAAGCCTAAATTCTACTATAAATTTATCTTTTGGAATATAAGAAAATATTTGATAGTGTCAAAATGGTCAAAATTTGGTTGGCACCAGTGGATCATGCCTATAACCCTATCTATTCAGAAGACTGAGATCTGAGGCTTGCAGTCCAAAGCCAGACCCAGAAGGAAAGTTGGAGAAACTCTTACCTCCAATTAACAGCTAGAAAACCAGAAATGGAACTGTGGCTCAAAGGGGTAGAACACTAGCCTTGAGCTGAAGAGCTAAGGAACAGAGCCCAGAGGCAGAGTTCAAGCCCCATGACCAATTTAAAAAAAAAGACCTAAAAGCACAAAAGCTCTGAATGTTTGCAAATGTGACTGAAACATAAAGAATGTGGCATCAATGTACAAGAAACTAGAAAAGCTAAATCAGACTTGAGCTGCAAATTTGATACAAAAAGCAAAACTTTACCAATGGATGATATGAGAAAATCCTGACCTAAACTTGCTTCAGCAGCACATATACTTACAGAGAAGAACTCTTTGCCCCTGTGCTAGGATGACATACAAATTTGTGAAAGGTTTCACATTTTTTGGACTCTGCCAAATGACCAATCTACATATAATTGGAATAGGCGAAGGAGAATAATTCATTTTTTCTCTTTTGAATTATTTGTTTCTAGTCTAAGATTAACAAATCAAAATGACACTTTCATACATACAAAACTTCGAAGTACCCTATTTTCCTCAAATATATTTTAGAGGCTTATTTTTCAACTAATTTACTAAATTTATTTTTTAGGATTTTTTATCTTTAAGGAATTGTACAAGAAATTGCCATTTACCAAGTCAGATTATGAATATACTACATCTTGATCAATGTCACCACTTCCAAAAGTCTCACCCACCACTTCCAACGCTCCTCTTATTGTCATTTTAGGGATAGGTATTGATTTTTTGCCATTTACCAAAGCAGTTTTTATGTACAATGCATCTGGATCTGCATCATTACTTCCTCATCTTCATCCACTCTTAGACCAACCCCATCCCCTATATTTATCAATTCTATGCTACACATAATGAATTCTTGCCTTCATTTTCCCTCCTTCACCCCTTCATTCTTGGCAGAAAAATTTAAAACTAAAGGCCTTGGGAACTTATTCAACAAAATAGTGACAGAAAACTCCCAAGATTCTCAAGAATGAGAATCTCAACCATCTGGCAGATGGGTGAGAAATCTTAATCAGACAAGACCAGAGAAGACACATTCACACTGTTGTGAGATTTCTAGACTTACAAAATAAGAAGTTAGTTATATAGACAGCACAATCAATGAGGGAATTTTATTTCAACGGAAAGAAACTTAGAAAAACTGTGTATTTCTCAACAAAAACTGCGACTACAAGGAGAACCTGTATATATAATTCAACAACTGTCAGCCTAAATTAGGGTCAACAGCAAAGCTATCATTCAGAATGGATGAAGAAACTAAAACCTTCCATGATAAAAAAGAATTCATGAATACTAAAGCAGCACTACAAAGGATACTAAAGGGAAACATACTATTAGAAGAAGAAAATCTGTATTAAAGAAATACATTAATGAATAAATCTACTAGAGGATTCATTTAGTAAAGGAGAAGAAGAAAGAAGTAATGAAGACAAAAACAGGAAATTACAGAAAATATGGCATTTATCTTCATGATAAATATGTTAAATACTTAAATAAAAAAATCAACAGGCCATTATTCAATCGTAGACATAGAGCAGCAGCCTTCATTAACAAACAAGATCCAACCACTTGTTGTCTTATTAGAAACACATCTCACACTCAAAGAGAAGCACAAATTCTGAGCGAAGAGAAGGAAAAAGGTATTCCAAAGCAAATGCATCTTCAAGCAGATAGGAGTAGCCATGTTGATATCTGATAAACTAGATTTCACATTAAAAACAATAAGAAGAAATAAAGAAGGCCATTACATATTAATAGAGGGAATGGTCCATGAAGAAGAAATTACAGTGGTTAATATAAATGCACCAAATAGTGGAGCATCCAAAAACATTAAACAAGCAGTCTTAAACTTACAAAAACTGACAGATCCAAATGCAATAATAGTGGGGGACTTTTAACACCCTGCTCTCACCAAAGGACAGGTCAACCAAACAAAAACCAGAAAGACAATTCTGAATTAAATGACACCATAACCCAAATGGACTTAATGGACATTACAAAGTCTTTCACTCAGCAACCACACAATTTACAGTCTACTCAGGAGCCCATAGAACCTTGTCCAAAATAGATCTTACCCTAGGATACACATCAAGCTTGAGTAAATATAAAAAATGATATAACTTCCTGTATACTAGCTGATCACAATATAAATAAACTAGAACTCAACAGCAAAAGATATTACAGAAAATATTCAAAAAACGTGGAGATGTAGCAACAGACGTCTTAATAATCACTGGGTTACAGAAGAAATAAAGGTAGAAATCAGAATATTCCTGCAATCCATTGAAAATGAGTAGACATTGTATCAGTACCTCTGGGATACAGCAAAATCAATGTTAAAAAGAAAACTCATAGCTCTAAACATCCACTTAAAGAAAACAGACCTTGCTCAATTAAATATCTCATGATACAACTAAAGCTTCTTTAAAAAAAAAGTAACAAACCACACTCAAACCTTCTAGATGGAGAGTGATAATAAAGATCAGGGGAAAAAGTAGAATCAAAAAATCAAAACTGGTTCTTTGAAAAAAACTAATAAAATTGACAAACCTCTAGCTTTTTTCATCAAAAAAAGAAAGAAAAAAGACCAAAATCAACAAACTTGCAGATGATAAAGAATGAAAAGACCCAAAAGATTATGAAAGATTACATTCAAAACCTATGTTCAAATAAGATGAGAAATTAATAGAAACAGATAAAATCCCAGAGACATATGATCTGCCCAAGCTGAACTAAGAAGATACAAATCATTTAAACAGAGCCATGACAAGCAATGAGATTAAGGAAGAAATACTGAGTGTTAAAAAAGGAAAAGTCCAAAGTCATTATATTGAAAATAAACTTTACAACTTTGGTGGGAGGGAGGGGGAGAGAAGGATTGGGTGGGGAGGGCAGGGATGGGAAGGGGAAACAAAGGAGGAGGCTACAATGCTTGATAAGAAATGTATTCATTATCTTGCCCATGTAATTGTAACCCCTCTGTACAGTATTTTCACAATAAAAAAATAAAAAAGGAAAAGTCCAGTTCCTGATGGATTCACAACTGAATTTTTTAAGACTTCAAAGTACTAACACTAGCACTCCTCAAACTTTTCCATGAAATTTCAGTGAAAACTTTAGCCCAATCTCTCTGATGAACACAGATGCAAAGCTCCTTAATAAAATACTTGCTAACAGAATTCAACAACTAATAAAGAAAATCATTCATTACAATCAAGTCCAGGTTTTTATGTGTGCCAGTCCTGGGGCTTGAACTGAGGGCCTGGGTGATGTCCTTGAGCTATCTTGGCTCAAGGTTAGCAGTCTACCAATTGAGCCACAGCTTCACTTCCTGCCTTCTAGTGCCTAACTGCTTATGAGAGTCTCATGGACTTTTCTGCCCAGGCTGGTTTCAAACTACTATCCTCAGATCTCAGCCTCCTAGGCAATCAGGATTATAGATGTGAGCCACTGTGCCTAGTGACCAAGTCGGTTTTATTCCAGAGATACAAAGCTGGTTTAATGTATATGAATAAATGTAAAAACCATATTAGGAGAGCCAAAGACAAGAATCGCATGCTCATCTTAATTGGTACTGCAAAGACCTTCAAAAAAATCCAATACCCATTTATAATAAAAACTCTGGAGAAATAGATGAAAGATTCTTCAACCTAATATATACTATATATGACAGACCTAAAGCCAACATCATACTAAATAGTAAAAAATTAAAACCATTCCTGTAAAATCAGGAAGAGCACAAGGATGCCCACACTCTCCACATCTCAATATAATACTGGAATTCCTAGCCAGAACAAGAAGGTAAGAGAAAGAGATGAGAGAGATTCAAATAGGGAAAGAAGAATTCAAACTCCCTTTTTGCAGATAAATGATCCTATACCTAAAGTACTAGAGATTCCACCCCTAGGCTTCAATAGCTGATCAATAACTTTGGCAAAGTAGCAGAATAAAAAATTAAACTAAAAAATCAACAGATATTTCTGAACATTAAAATTTTGCAGAGAGAAAAATTAGGAAAACAATTCCATGTCCAACAGTCTCAAAAATTAGGAATACATCCTTTGTACAACTATTATTGCTATTATATGCACTGAGGAACGAAAATCTCATCAACAAGAAGTGCTCAAGAAATTCTGTGAACACTAGAAATCCACATGAACAAGATTAAATCTCAAACGCTACTTTCCCTTTGCACAAAAGGGATAGTGGGAGAACAATAAAGGGATGGGTAACAATGGTCAACAAGAATTGTACTCATTAACTTATTTATGTAACTGTAATCCCTCTCTACAACACCTTTAAAATAAAATTAAAAATTGAAAAAATAACTCAAAATGTATTGCAGAAATTAAAATAGTCAAACACATCAAACTCTATTCAAAGGAAATGAGTTTCTAGGCAGAACTATTTCTGAATAGCTATTTCTAATAGATCCATAACTAAATAACTCAATAAATGAAAAGAATGATTAGAAAATGAGACTGTATCATGCTTGGATTTCTGGTAAAGAAACCAGGTGTGCTCTAAAGACACATAACCAAATGAAGAAGAAGGGGTGACATTGACATAGTAACTTTATAGTCAAAACCTGACTTAGAATTTAATCTGTTTATACTATTGCATAATAATAGTAATAATAATAATACACTTAACCTTTAACAAAAATTGTTGTGCTGAAACTTGACAAGATCAAAAGAAGATAGTCCTTAAATGCCTGTGGGTCAAAAAATATTTTACATTTCACATTTTTGTTCAGAACAAAATTATAGCTGTTTACCTATCAACTCTGTGTCATATATCCATTACTGTAGATAATCCTTGAGATTTATCTAGAGTTTTTAGTGGAAACTACTGTACTTTAATGACCTCTTCCATCCAGACACATAGTAACTACTTTCATTCAGAAAATGAGCTCTTTTTAAAAACTTTAAAAAACATCTTCAAAGTGGTATCTCGTTGCAACTATGATTTTATATTAAAAATTATTAGTTTTTTATGAATATATTTTATATATTCATTGGCTATTTTATGTCATCTTTTTAGAAATATCTGCTTGTCTGTTTTCTAATTTTTGTTAGTGTGCTTTTTTAAATTTTATTTTATTGTAAAGGTGCTGTACAGAGGGGCTACAGTTACATAAGTAAGGGGAATTTCTTATTGAACATTGTTCATTTTTACCCACACCATTGCTGTTCTCTCACTATCTTTTCTCTCCCCACCCCCTTTCCTCTCCGTCCTCAAAGTTGTAAAGTTCATTTCTGACATAGTGTCTTGTGAGTATCATTGTTGCAATGGGTCTTCCTTTCTTCATACTTCTTGCATCATTTTGTTATTTCCCTTCCCTTCCCCAAGTCAAATAAAGATGGAGGGTACCAGAATCAAAGAAAGAGATTACCAGGAATATACCAATGGAAAAGGAAAAGCGAAATAAAATGAGAGAACTAGATATCATAAGTTTCTTATATATTCTAGTTATCATCTCCTTGTCAGATATGTAGTTTGCAACTACTTTCTACAATTGTATGGGATGTCAATCACTCTATGTTTGTTTTCTTTGATGTGCAGATTTTGTAATCTAGTATAGTTTCATTTGTCTTTTTGCTTTTGTATTGTGTTTCTTATGTTTTGTACCCAGTTCCTTACCAATTTCAGTGTCCTAAAATATACTTTCTATTTTCTTCCATAGTATCATAGTGTTAGCTCTTATACTTAATGCTTTAGTACATTTGAATTGATCACTGTAACACGTGAAAGATGAGAATCCAATCTTATTCTGATGCATCCAACCACCATTTATTAATAAGCTTGTCCTTTTTCCAATGAACATTCTTTTCCAAAAATAAATTGTCTATAAATATGTGGTTTTTGATCCTATTCCATTGGTCTATGCTTCTGTTTTTATACTAATGCCATATGTGTTGATGAATTTGTAGTCAGGTAGTGTAATGACCTCTTTTATTCTGCTTGACCCAAGATTGTTTTAAGTATTGGAAATTATTTGCAATTTTATACAAATTTTGAGAGTTTTTTCTACTTCTGTAAGAAATGTCATTGGCATATTGGGCAGCCTGTAGATAATTTGGAGTAGTGTGGAGTTGTTAATGATACTGAGATTGGTTTAACCCATGGACAAGTGACAGTTTTCCAATTTTGTGTTTGTCCCTTTCAACTTGTTTTTTAATTTAATTTTATTTTAAAGATGTTGTACAGAACATGGTTACATGGGAAAATTACAGTTACATGGGAAAAGTAATGAGTACATTTCTTGTCAAACATTTTTACCCCTCCTTTGTTGTTCTCCCACTACTCCCTCCCTCTACTTTTCAAGTTTTACATCAATGTATTTTTTTTACTTTAAAGATTTTCCCCCTTTTGTTAAACTTATTGGTAGGAACTTTATTTTTAAGAGTTGGTGGAAAAGAGTTGATACACATGTTTGCATATTAATATTTTCTCCTATAATATTCATGGATGTATATACTTAGCTTAATCAGCCTGCAACTTCCTATATGTTCCCTCTTAGTGGTGAGGTTGGATGAATATTAGTTTCTAAATAAATCTAAATATGAAGGAAGTTATTGTTCCTAATTTGTATTTCTGGCTTTATTGTGCCAAATAGAAATATTGTTACCATAGATAATGAAGTTGCTCAACTTCTCTGGTACTTAATCTACTTTTCACACATGGAAGACATTTCTAACAGGAAGGTACTGAAAAGCTGGAAGCAATTTTAGACATAATACATTGCCTTCTGTGACTTACACAAGAAGACATAAATGATGCCTCTCAGATCTTCACTTTCTTTCCAAAGCATCTCATGGAATTCTCTTAATGGTTTGTTGCTTCTAACACTAGCTCTTTCTTACTCTACAAATCCCTCAGTACAGGCTCGTACAACCACCAGAGCCTCTTGGGTTCACAGAAATACAGAACACACTGACTTCAGAATGAAGTGATCCCCAAGGTCTTTGCTGGACTATGATGATATCATGGAAGCTAAGGGACAAAGTTCAAAACATGTTTTTCCAAAGTGTTTTTTTTTTTTTTTTTTACCATGATGGAGGATGGCAGGTGCTGAGCCTTCGGGCAGAGAATCCCTGAGCTTCTGACTGGAATTGAGGTTCAGAAGACAAAGCAGGAAACACAGAACTGAACACAGTGCTATCAAGCATGAGGCCTCAGCACCATGTCTCCCTTAAAAATAACTCATTTTGCTTCTAGCAGTACATTTTCCTAATATGCCAGCACACCAGTCATATATACTCTTTCCATAAGTTAATAGTGGTATATGTTAATAGTGGGAGCCCACAGTATATGAATATATACGCTTCCTTCAGAATTCTGAAGCTTGGAGGTACTATCCAACCTCATCTTCCCCTCAGCTTAGCCTAGATGCAGAATTTGGATTCTATGTTGGGCCGATTGTGACATGGTTTTGTCTCTGGTTTTTTCCTTCCTATTCCTGCAATTTTCACATACATCACAGCATGTGGATATTCCAAGCTATTTAAAACACTTAAAGCCAAGTGTCTTCCGAGATGGAGACCTGGTATTGGGTGGGTTTTTACCCCTTTACCACTTGGCCCAAGAAGCCTCCGTGTTCCCACGACCTTCTACACTCCCTGAATATTATACAAAAGTACCTCAAAGGTAAGTTCTATGTTGGATGAATTTGTTATGGTAATGACTGTATTTTCATTTGTGTTTGCTCTCCTTTGACACTGTAAAACGTGCCCATAAAATGGAAAAAAATGGCAATCAATAAGGTATAATGTTCTCTTCCTTCTTAATGCATTCACAACACTATTTTTTGCCTTTTGCTTTCCACTCCTAGAGAGATAAAAAAGAGAAATCAATGTCCTTATGCCTACATCATGAGCCTACTCATCATAATCGGGCACTAGGGGAGGGATGTTTCAGAATGTGTGTGACTGTTGGACCCCTTCCACTCCACTGTCAAAACAGATGCACTGGGCCACAAAGGAATCTGAACCACTGAGCCCTGACTTGAGGTCAATGTTAGAGTCAAGGAGCTCATGCTGTCTTGCCCACTGTTGTCAAAGGCATTTTAAAACAAGTTAAGAAAGGAGTAGCTAGTCTACAAAGGATAATAATGAAATCATACCATATAAGAAGTTTTTTATGCTAAAAGTCAACAGAAGAAACGTCTTTTGTAGGGGTGATGATGCTCTTTGTTTCAATCTTAGTAACTTCAGAAAAAAAAAATAATTGCATTGATTGGCTCCAGGAAAATAGGGTGCATATATCTTTGATCATTGAGTTAAAACACTGATGCTTAATGGCAGCTCACCAGCAGACAGCTTGTACTATGTGAATGGTGCACTGATTGCAATGAATGAAATCATTCTTCTACAACATTAAATACATCAGTAGTCCCATAACCACAGATAACATTTAGGCAATATGGAATTCATTTTCATGAATATCATTCCCCCTCACTGGATCTTTTTATTACAATTTAACATATTATTTTCACATGAGGTCTTGAAAGTACCAGGAGTGGTAGGCTAATGATCTTTGAGCTTGATTTTCGGCCTTGTCTTTCATTTGTATGAGGATCTCTGCATCCTCATCGCCTTCTCCTCCTATCTATTATGACTTTAATTCTCTGTGTCTTTACCATTCACAGGAATACGAAATGAGATATTTCATGGCAATAACTTCATACATGTGAATCAGAGGTTAGGGAATCGCTGCTCATTGATCCTACTCTACCCAAATAGAGAAAAAAACAGGAGCTTATCAGAGGATAAAGGGCTCTCTAATCTCAGATCCAATGTGAGAACCTCCTTTCTTCATGAGACAAGTTTCAGGAGATGGATGATAGACTTCAACTCATTTCACAAACCTAGATGTCAGACTGCAGTCTCCCTTCTATGGTTCTGCTAGAAATGTTTCAGGCTACTTCTATTTTTGGCGGCAAACAGCCATGTATCATGTGATTTTTCAGTTTCATTCTGCAAGCGGGTTTCTTATACCTAATAATTTAGCATGAACTTGTTTTCCTATAAAGAATGCATTATTCCCTTGTCAACCAAGTGTCATCTGACATAGATGCACTACACATGCTCACCCACTGCTGCACATTCAAGATATGACTCAGGTTGTGTGATTGTTACACAGAGGTGATCAGTCTCTTAAAACAACTTTTTTACATTACACTAAGATAAATGGGAGGAAATTAATAACAGATGGGGAGATAGGCTCATTCGTAAACTCTTGAGGCTTATTGCCAAATAGCTGGGAAGCCAGTGTGTTTTCATGTTCCCATTCCCCTTGTATCTGATTGCATTTTCTCTGATTCTTTTTTTTATGCTTATCTTCCTCCCTCTGGCTTTAGCAAGCAATAATCTGATTTGTGTCTCCCTGGATTTGCTAATCTGACTATTTTGTATTTACAAACCTATATAATTTATGATCATTTTTGAGTGAATAATTTTACATTATGTAATGTTTTCCAGTTTAATTCATGGGGGATAACATACACCAATCTATTGTCTGATTTTTTCTTGTAATATTTGAACATTAATCTCTTAAGTGCAATATGCTACTTATTAAGAATAAGATGCAATGTATTCTATTTCATTTAGACCCAAATTGTAGGCCTGAAGTTATCTCAAACCTAAGGGTTTGCCAAAATTTCTGAATAAAACAGTCACATGTTTTTGAGGATTTTCTCTTTTTTTTAACTTTTATTATAAAGGTTAATAAGGTTACATATTACAAATGTTACATAAGTAAGGTAATGAATACATTTCTTTTTGAACATCATATATTTTAAGGCTTTATATTCTCAAATTAATCCTTTCTTATCATAAAGTTTTCTCTTTTTTGCCAGTCGTAGGTTTTAACTCAAGACCAGGGCACAAACTCAGGACCAGGGCACAGTCCCTGAATGTTTTTACTCAAGGTTAGCACTCTTCCACTTGAGCCACAACCCAAGTTCCAGTTTTTTCAATCAATTCAAATTCCTTTTCCTTCTTTTTTCATATTTAAGTTTGTTAATTGTTATTATAGAGATGATACACAGATGGGTTACACTTGCATAAGTGAAGTAAAGATGACATTTCTTTTTGGACAATGTCACTCTTTCCCTCACTCTCTTCCAGGTTCTCCTTCCCAGCCTCACTCACAAGTTGCATGATAATTTTCTTTTTTTAATATTATTTTTGTAAAGGTGCTGTACAGAGGATTATAGTTACATGAGTGAGGTAATGAGTACATTTCTTTTTCGAGCATTGTTACCCCCTCCTTTATTTTCTCCCACTACCCCTTCCCTCACCCAACTCCCTCACTCCTTCCCCCTGAAGTTGTGAAGTTCATTTCCAACATAGTGTCTTGTGAGTATAATTGTTACAATAGATCGACCTATATCCTTGTTTCAGCATTTTGTTATTCCCTTTCCCCTCCCCAAATTAGACAAATGTGCATACAAGATGCAGGGTACAAAAATCAAGTACAGTGACAACAAGGGATATACCACAAAGGGAAGAACATACAAAGGAAACAAAAACAATCACATAGTACATTTAAAAACAACAACAACAAAGCAAGAACTCTTGTGTCTATATCTCAGGGTTCAATTCACTTAGCATCATCTTATATGGTCTTATGTATACAGCTTTTGAGCTCTTCTGCTTATCTGCTAAAATTATCCTAGACGTATACTAATTATTGCAAATGAGGGAAACTGTGTGACCTATATTTTTGGGTCTGGCTTACTTCACTTAATATGATTTTTCCAAGTCTTTCTATTTCCTAAAAAATGGGGCAATATCATTCCTCTAATGGAGGCATAGAATTCCATGGTGTGTGTGTGTGTGTGTGTGTGTGTGTGTGTGTGTGTATATATATATACATATATATATATATAGTATATGTATACTATATTTTCTTGATCCATTCATCTACTGAGGGACATCTGGATTGTTTCCATATTTAAGTTATGGTGAATAATGCTGCAATAAACATAGTTGTGCTGGTAGTTTTAGTATTGTCTTGTTTGTGATTATTGTGATAAATGCCCAAAAGTGAGATTACTGGGTCAGAGGGGATCTCTAGATGGAGTCTTTTACGGAATCTCCATAGAACTTTCCAGCATGCTTGAACAAGTTTACATTCCCACCAACAAGGCAGTATGTTCCCTTTTGGTCACATCCACTCCAGCATCTGTTGTTATTAGATTTCTTGATTATAGCCATTCTAACTGGGGTGAGGTGGTATCTCAATGTTGTTTTGATTTGCAGATCTCTTATGGCCAGAGAAGTTGAACATTTGTTCATGTATCTATTAGCCATTCTTATTTCTTCTTCAGAAATATCTCTTTAAGTCTTTGGCCCATTTATTAAGGGGATGGTTGTTTCTTTAAGGATTTGTTTTTGAAGGATTAATTTTTTTAATTCTAAGTATATTGTAGATATGAGAATCTTGTCTGTTGTATAGCTACTGAAGATCTTCTCCTAATCCATGGGCTTTCTATATTGATATTATTAGCTATGTCATTTGCCAAGCAGAAGCTCTGCAGTTTATGCAATCCCATTTGTCCAACCTTTTTTTGACTTGTTGTGTTTCTGGGTCTTTTAAAGAAAATTTCAGCATGTGCCAAGGGGTCCTAGTGTTTCTCCTATTCCTTCCTATAATGTTTACAGGGCATCTGCTTTGACTTTGAGGTCTTTGATCCATTTGGAGTTGATTTTGGTGCATGGTGATATATAAGGATCTTTAGTTTTCTACAGGTTTTTAACCAATTTTGCCAGCACCATTACTGAAGAGGCTGTCTTTTTTCCATTCTATTTTTTAGCTCCCTTATCGAAGATTAGGTGGCTATAGGTCTGAGGTTCATTTCTGGGTCTTCAGTTCTATTCCATTGGTCCTCAGCCCTGTTCTTGTGCCAGTAGCAAGCTGGTTTGATTACTATGGCTTTTTAGTAGAGTTTGAAATTTGGTATTGATATTCCTCCAGCACTGTTCTTTCTGCTAAGGATTGTTTTTGATATTTGGAGTCTTTTATTGTTCCATAAGAAGTTTTGGGTTGCTTTTTCTATTTCATTGAAGAATGAGATTGGGATATTGATGGGTGTTACATTGACTTTATAGTCTTTGGCAGTTTTGCCATTTTTGTGATGTTAATCCTCCCAATCCAGTATTTGGGATTTTTTTCCATTTTCTTAGTTCTCCTTTCATTTCCTGTTTCAGGTTTTAAAGTTTTGATCAAAGAGTTCTTTCACTTGTTTGGTTTATTTTCTGTGGGTCTTTTACAAAAGGAGTTGCTTTCCTAATTTCAACTGTGCTCTTGTCATTATTGGCATACTGGAAAACCATTGATTTTTGAGGGTTAATTTTATACCCTGCTAATTGGTCAAAGTTTTAGATCAGCTCAGGTCACTTGGAAGTGGAGTCCATGGGGTTTTTTAAATATAAGATCATGTCATCTGCAAAGAGGGACAGTTTTGCTTCATCTTTCCCTATTTGGATCCCCATTATGTTTGCATCTTTTCTTATTGCTCTAGCTAGGCATTCTAATACTAAATTGAAGCTGAATGGAGATTGTGGACATCCTTGTCTCATTCCTATTTAGAGAAAATGGCTTTAGCTTTTTGCCATTAATTATATCACTGGCTGTAAGTTTGTCATACACAGCCTTTTTATATTGAGCAATGTTCCATGCATTTCTAGTTTCTCCAGATCTTTCATCATAAAGGGGTGTTGGATCTTGTCAAATGTTTCTTATACATCTATTGAGATAATCATGTTGTTTTTATCCTTGCTCTTGTTGATGTGAAGAATTATATCAATTGATTTGTATATCTTGAACCAGATTTGCATCCCATAAATGTATCCTGTTTGATCATGATGTACAATTTTTTGGTGACTTTTTGAAGTCAATTGGCCAGAATTTTGTAGAGAAGTTTTGCATCCATGTTCATCAAAGACATTGGTCTATAGTTCTCTTTCTTTGATGAGTCACTGTCTGGTTTTGAAACGAGGGTTATGATGGTTGCATAGAAAGAGTTTAGTAGGGAACTTTCACTTGCAATTTCATTGGCGAGTTGGAGGAATGTTGGTTTAAGTTCTGCTTTGAAGGCCTTGTAGAATTCAGCAATGAACCCATTTGTCCTAGGCTTTTCTTAGATGGGAGGTATCTTACTGCTATTTCTATTTTGATGCTTGATATGGGTCTGTTAAGTTGTTTAAATCATGGTTCTAGTCTAGTGACACTATGTTGAATAGTGTTGAATAACACAGCTACTTTTGTTCACCCTTTGTCCTTCCATTTCTGTGCCTCCATTTACCATCCCAAAGACAGATAAATGAACAAAGAATAAAAGGAAAAGCAACAAAGAAACAAAGAAACCTCTTGTTTCTGTTTCCTGGGGTTCAATTTGATAAATACTATTTCATACATTCAGAGACACAAAAGGATTGCAACTTTATATTCTTTTCCTAAGAATATGGTCCCTTGGTCTCACTGTGTGTGAATGTCTAACATCCTGTATAATTTAACATGTTTCAGCATACATTAGCTTTAGCTTCCACATATGAGAAAAAACATGTGCTGTTTGTCTCTCTGAGCTAGGCCTACCTCTCTCTACATGATTTGTTCTATGTCCATTCATTTCCCTGCAAATAACATAATATTAATTTTTCTTAAGACTGTGCAAACTCCCCTTGTGTATAGGTGCCACATATTTTGGATCTATTTGTCTATTGTAGGACATCAGATATGTTTCTATTACTGGGCTATTGTGGATAGTGCAGTAATTAACATGGATGTATAAGTAACTTTATGGTATCCTGGCTTGTGATGTTCTGGGTAGATGCTAGGAATGGTATAGCTGGATTGTAGGAACTCTAAGTTTTCAGTAACCTTCAGGATGCTGTCCAGACTGGTTGTACTAGTTTACATTCTCACCAACCCTGCAATAGAGTTTCTTTATCCCCACATCCCCGCCAACATTTGAATTCATGATTTTGGCCAATCTAACTAGGGTGAGATGGAATCTAAGAGTTGTTTTGGTTTGCATTTCCTTTATGACCATGATTGATGAGCATTTCTTCAGGTGATTATTTGCTATTGTTACATCTTCTCCTGAGAAGTTCTTCCTTAGCTACTTTGCCCATATAGTTATTGGTTTATTAGCTTTGGAAGGGTTGGTTCCCTGAGCTATTTGTGTATTTCACTTCCAGCTTTTTGGTGGTTAATTTGAGATAAGAGTCTCACATACTTTTCTGATGAGGCCAGCTTTAAATCACAATCCTCAGATCTCAACCTCCTAAATGGCCAGGAGCCACTGATAGCTGGCTTTTGAAATCGTATTACATGACACTGGCTTCTGTTCACTGTTGAATTTAGATTCATATATGGATTAAAATAAATATGTATGTACATGAATATGTATTCTAAATTTATATCAGGTTCATTAGAGGTTCATCAATTTAGAGAATTTGTTGTGTTCTCTGCTTCAGACTTTATTAGTGACCTTTGATATATGTAAGAGTAGTAAAGAATATTGGAAAACAATCCATACCTGGGGCCATACCTGAGTGCCATGGAGTAACAACGTTACAATATAACTTTGCTGTGCATGAGCTTCCCCAATGCCTACCAATTTTATAGAGGGTTAAGAACTTAATCACTGTTAGATCTGGGGTTTTGGTGGGGAACGGTTGAAGATAATTCAGCTAGTCTACTTGAAGCTGACACCAGCTATTACAAACACCATAGCGCTGAATAAATGATTCACTACCTAAAGGAAGATCACAGGAAATATGCAATGCTAATTGTAACTCCTCAGTATTTTCACAATAAAAAAGGTTAATCTAAAAACCAAAAAGAACGAATCTTCAATTAACATTTCTTCATTTAAAATAATTCAAGTAGACACAAACATTAGACAGATATTGATAACAGAATCAATATAACAGGTACTTTTGGCATATACCAAATTGTTCCTCTACATGAACTATAAACATTTCTCTTTCAAGTACTTGTTGCAAACTAACCAAATGGGACTTTTTTTAGGTAATGAAAGAAAATTTCAAATTCCATCAATAGGAGTGATATGAACAAAATCACTGAACACAATGGGAAATACATTTCAATTAAAAGAAAACATTACCATTTAGGAAATATTTCAAAATGTTTTACAGATATTTGTATATATTGAGTATCTGTGGCAAAAAACATTCATCAAGAAGGCTAAGAAAGAGTTCAATCCCCAGTATCAGCACACACACAAATACACACACACACATGCTCACACACAAACACAAACATTTTTTGTTAAAGCATTACTAAAAAATGGTATAGCTTATTACATAGATAATAATACTGAGAGAAAAGAAAAAATAAAAACCAACTAAAGCTACATGGTTGTGGTGGTGGCTTTTGTGCAAACTGGTTTGTGGTCACTTGTATAAATGCCCACAGGTAGAATTACTGGGTCATAGGGAAGTTCTATGTTTAGTCTTTTGAGGAACCTCCATACTGCTTTCCAGAGTAGTTGAACCAAGGACAGTGTAGTAGCTTTCTCCACTAGCATGTTATTACTAATGCTCTTGATAATGGCCATTCTAACTGAGGTGAGGTGGAATCTCAATGTTGTTTTGACATTTCTTCCTTTGTCTATTAGTCAGCATTGTTTACCATCGCTAAGACATGGAATCAACCCTGATGCCTCTCAGTGGATTATTGGATCAATAAAATTGCATATATACATACATACACACACACATACACATACACACAAATGGAAATCTATACTTCCATAAGAAAGAATGACATTATCCCATTCTTAAAGAAATAGAAAGATTTAGAAAAAAAATCTATTATGGAACATAGGCTCCATGATTTCCCTCATTTGTAATAATTAGAATGTGCCTACAAATCTGCCAGTTAATCTAATGGATAGTAAAAGATAAAAAAATTGCAGTTGGACATGATTAGTTATATAGCAATCTAAATATTCACACAGTGAGAACAAGGAAGATATTCTTAGGAGTGGATCTCAAGGGCTCAATAGCTATGTGCATATAATCATATAAAATGATGTTTTTGACATGAACTCCAAGAAATGGAAACAGGCAGTTTTTTGTTTGTTTGTTTGTTTTAGGTTGTTTTATTTATTTATTTTGTCAGTCGTGGGACTTGAATTCTGAGCCTGGGTGCTGTCCCTCAGCTCTTTAGCTGAAAGCTAGTGCTCTACTATTTGAGCCACAGTGCCACTTATGGTTTTCTGGCGGGTTATTGGAGATATGAGTCTCACAGACTTTCCTGCTTGGGCTGATTTTGAACCACGATCCTAAGATCTCAGCCTCATGAGTAGCTATGATTACAGACATGAGCCACCGTGTCCAGCTCAGGCAGTTTTTAATTGCACTGTTTTCAGTTATTGTTTTTCCTTCTGTTTATTCCCTTTTGTCACTGTTTTTTTATTTCTGTACATTTTTTCTTGTATACAGGTTTATCTGATTTGGGGAAAGGAAGGAGAACAACAAAAATAATGGGACAAAAGGTGAACCAATTCAGCAGTGATACTCACTGGATACTATGTTGGAAGTGAACTATACAACTTGTGGTTTGGGGGTCAGAAGAGGGAAAAACTGGGAGAAAAATGATGGAGTGATGCTATTCAAAAATGTAACCCCTCTGTAATCAACATTACAATAAAATTTAAATTAAAAAAAGAAAAAGAAAACAACTAAAGGATAAAAATGAAAGTTGATACTCAAGTGTAGAAATTTTTAGAAAGGGCACACTAAAAATACTTCTGGTATATATAGTTAAGAGAGAATAATCCATCTGAAATGTTAGAATACCTGGTAAGTTGGATGCTATTTAGGCTATTCCAGAAAACAAAGGTAAAAGTTATTTGTATCTTGGCCTCTGCCCCTGAGATTAGAAATAAGATGATATGTTTGGATTTACTAGTGACTTAGCAAATGGCATATAGAAATGAGTGCATAGTCCATTCTCATCTCCCTCAAGAACGATGCATTGTTGATTTGTCCATAGGCTGATGTGTTACCAGCTGAAAGACTTTAAAAGTATATGTCTCCAGTAATCAGATAAATAATTTAAATAAATGCTATCAGACACCATTCACAATGCCTTAAATATCTAACATTGGTTTGTAAGCAGATTACCTCATAACAGGCTGAGACTCCTTAAAAAAATCCTCCAAAGATTTTGGAAACTTTTTCACCATCTCCATAGGCCAAAAGAGGAGAATCTTGGAATGGAAGCCTCAGGACAACATCCTGCCTTGTCTAAGGAGTTGCCATTGCATTGCATTTTTGATCATTCCTACTAACACAGCTTTCTCTGTTTAGATGGTTTTGGAAGAACTACCAGTATGCTCTAGCCTTTCACTTTGCCATTGAGGAGATCAATAAGGACTCTCATCTACTCCCCAATCTGTCCTTGGGTTATCATATCTACAATGCCTTTCACAATAATCGAAGAACCTTAGAGAACTCTCTGATGTGGCTGTCTGGGGGTAATGAGATTCTCCCTAACTACAAATGCACTATGCAAGACAAATCAGTTGCCATCATTGCAGGAACCACATTGGCATTCTCAGTTGAAATTGAAGCACTTTTAGAGCTCTACAAAACCCCACATGTAAGTGGATCATGAATTCTGGGTAGAATTGTTAAGATCTCCAACAATACTATTTCCTTGCATATGACCAAAGGGAAATGTAGTTGAGAAAACATATCCTATGAGGGTTAAAATCTGGCCTCTGTGAATAGCCTGGATTCTGAGATTATCAATAGTGGAAAGAGTAGACAGAGAAAGCAGTGAATGCTGAGAATCTCAACCAATATTACTTTCTAGAGCCAAAGTATCCATTAGCTAACACTGACTGCTAGTATCTGTGTGCCTCAGAGAAAATGCCCACATCACAAAAAAATATCCATTCTAGGATGTAACTAGCTCACGTGTACCCAGACACTACTGATTGTCACATAGGGAGAGAGTAACACCTGGACATCTGGTTTGTTTGGTAAAATACTGAGGATCACCACAGTTCCAGTGACCCCTGGAAATGATAGAAACTCAGATATACATGCTTTGTTTTGCCTGCTCCTTCTGCCCATACTCTTGCTCATATCTACCCAAGTAGATCTCAAAATCACTCCTAGTGAACTTTCCCCACTGAACTCTCCAGATTACAGGCTTTTCCCAGAGGATCAATAATAATGCTAAGGCTACCCTATGAGAGTTCATTTCTTTTTTTAGTGGTTATTTTTAATAAGTTTTTTACTGTGAAAATACAGTACAGGAATATTACAGTTACATGAGCAAGGTAATGAGTACATTTCCTATCAAGCATTGTAGCCTCATCCTTTGTTTTTCCCCTAATGTCCCTTCTCTCTCACCTCCACAACTATACTCCCACTGCCCTGCCTAAATTGTAAAGTTGGTTTTTCAACCTAGTGTCTTGTACATCTCATTGTTACAATGGGTCAACCTGTATCTCTATTTAAACATTTTGTTCTTTCCCTTCTCCTTCTTAAATTATACCGACATCAAATATAGTGAAAACAGGGGTTATACCATGGGGGAGGAACATACAAAGCAACAAAAAAAATCACATTGTACCTTATAAATAGGTTAGAAACAATAGCAAGAAAGAAAATATCTCTTGTTCCCCTATCTTGGGGTTCATTTTGCTTAACTTCACCTTTTCTGATCATATGTACATAGCTTTTGACCTTTTCTACTTGTCCCAGACATATACTAGTTATTGCAAATAAGGGAAACCATGGGACCTATATTTCTTTGGGCCTGGCTTACTTCACTTATATAATGTTTTTCCAAGACTTTCCATTTCCTAAAAAGTGGGTGATGTCATTCCTTCTGATGTAGGCATAGAATTCACACACACACACACACACACACACACACATATATATATATATATTATATAAATTATACATATATATATATATATATATATATAAAATTTTCCTGATCCATTCACTTACTGAAAGGCATCAGGGTTGGTTCCATATCTTAGCTATGGTAAATAATGCTACAATAAACATCGTTGTGGTGGTAGTTTAGTATGGTCTTGTTTGTGATCATTTGGGTAAATGCCCAAAAGTGGGATTGCTGGGTCATAGGGAGCTCTGTGTGGAGTCTTTTGAGGAACCTCCATACTACTTGCCAAAGTAGTTGAACAGAGAGTTCTAATATTTCAAAAATTAGAGCGTATAAGAATGACAATGCAGGCTGTTATGAAAATAAATTAAAACTACCAAACAACTCATAGAATAAAAAGTTATTGGTGTTTGTTGTTAATGATATTGACATACCAGCTTAATTGTGGAGATATGTCTCTACACTATAAGCCATAGGGTCAATGAGGCAAATACCACTATCTTGGTAATATGTCATTCCAAGTTCATGTCTTCTTGTATTTCTACTGCAAGAGATGAGGAACCAATGAGATTTCACATGTTTTCTTCCATGTGTTGCTCAGGAAATCAGAAATCTTTTTTTGAAAACAATGGCACTGTGAAACGTGGTCTTCTGTGTGCTCAGAATGAGAGAAGCTGAAAATCTTTACAGCAGCCCTTTCCTCTACTGAAAAGTATTTTTTTTCAAATAATCCTTGCACTTTTCTCCTCCAGGAGAGAGAACTCAGAATCCTTCTAAGCTCAGAATTGTATTTTTTCTTTCTTTATTCAGATCACATATGGACCTTTTGACCCCATGCTGAATGACAAAGACCAGTTTCCATCACTTTACCAGCTGGCTGCTAAAGACAACTTTCTTGCTCATGCAATGATCTCATTATTGCTTCATTTTGGTTGGACTTGGGTGTCCCTTTATATTTCTGATGACATGAAAGGGGAGCAATTCCTTCAGATTCTTAAAGCAGAGATGGTAAAGGAAGGTATTTGTGTGGCCCTAACAGAAAAGCTGCCTACCACTAGGACAATATATGGACCGAGAGAAATCACTTCCATAACTAGGATCAGAGTTTCATCTGCAAATGTCCATATACTGTATGGTGAAGTAGGGAGCCTCATAATCATGGACATTTCGTCAGAACACTTTTTAGTCATGGGAAAAGTGTGGATAATGACATCAAAGTGGGATATTGTTGTGTATGAGATGGACCACATGCTGCACTCCTTCCATGGAAGTTTTTCACTGTCACCTCATAAGAAAGAAATTCCTGGCTTCAAAAATTTTCTCAAGACAGTTAAGCCTTCCCAATACCCAGAGGATTTTTACTTTAGCATTTTGTGGCTTTATAGTTTTGATTGTCTTCCAGCTGTGTCACTTTTTGGAAAAGTTGGAGTCTGCCATCCAAATGCTTCCTTAGAGTTTATGCCAGGAAATATTGACATCATGACGATATCTGACTCCAGCCATCACATCTATAATGCTGTCTACACAGTGGCCCATGTCCTTCATGAAATGCTTCTACAGAAAATAGAAATGGGATCTCCAGGAACTTCTGACCAGCCTAAGGTTCTTCCCTGGCAGGTAAATCTTCTGCAACAAGACAGACATTGAGCACCCAATGACATCTGCAACCATTTCTCTTAGGTATAACACTGTGATTATTTTAGAACAATAGGTTCTGAAAAAATGCAAAGTATTTTCTTTACACTGGTTATAGGGACATGTGTAATTTTTCACTGTATTTGAAGAATTCTGCTCCTAAGGATTTCCATTTTTAACTACTAAAATAAAAGTAAGTCATAAAAGTAAGTTCCATTTTAAGATAAAATGCTGTAAAATGTCCAACTACAACTCATAGTAAAGCAAAGGAAATTCAAAACATAATCAGATTTATATTTTGCATTGGAATGAGTCCAATATCAAAAAATATAGAGACACAAATGACTGTATATATAATTCTAGGTATTTCAGACACAAACTATTTATGTGGTGGTTCATCCTCTACATGACCTACTTTTAATAAAAGTAGCAATAGATTCTCTGAAATGTCCTGAAGTGACTATAGTAGATGAATAACTTAGGCATCCCAGTTCTTCCCAAACCTGCAGTAATCACGGAAGAATAGCCTGTGTTCTCATTTTGCAATGCAAGGATACTAATGATCCATATAAGTTTATGATAGTCAGCTGGGTTTGATAAGATTACAAGTGATTAGGAGTTCTTCACTTCAAGTGACTGAATACTTAAACAAACATTGTCTAAACATTATAAGATTATTTCCCACAACTGTCTCAAAAAGTGGGAAAGTTAAATATGCTTTGTTAGAAACTTCACTGGATCCATATTTTTAAATATGTTTTTACTGTAAAAGTAGTGTACAGCAGGGTTACAGTTACATGAGTAAGGTAATGAGTACATTTCCTATCAAGCATTACCTCCTTCTTTGTTTTTCCCCTACCATCCTTTTCTTCCCCACCTCCCCAACTCCTTCCTCCCTCCCTACCACAAGTTGTAATTCATATGCCGCTTAGTTGTTGAGGTTTTACCATCACCACAGTAACCTACTATAAATCTTAAAACAAAGGAAAGCTTCTAAGAAGTTCCAAACAGTCTCAGTTTTCTATGATAGCTCATGCCAATGCCACTCAGATGGCAAAATTATAGAACGTTTTCCATCAGGATTCACTTACTACCCCTACTGTTCTTCCTAAGAAGAAGAAGACTTTTTCCTTTGACTAAGCAAATTTAACTCTCTGTCTTGAAATGTACTCCTCATTTGTAAATTATGTCCCTCCTCCAGCTTCATCCATTTCTGAGGAAAATTCAGTTTACAAGCAGTGCTGGGGACCACATATCCTTAGATGAGAAAATAAACTCTGTTGTACAGTATGATGTCCAAAACATTGTGAATTTTCCTGCTGGTCTTGGGTTGATGATTAAAGTCGGAGAATTTGTCTGTAGGAGTCCACTTAATCAAGAATTGATCATCAAAAAGGAGATGATAGAATGGCCTATTGGATTCATACAGGTATGATTTCACTTCCGTATTGAGTTAATATGGAGGAAGCTAATTGGAGTCCTGAGATGAGATGAAATAGGATTTCTTTAACTTTGCACTAAATTCACCCTCTCCATCTTGACTTTGTACTATGTGCTCTTGATTTTTCCATAATCTTGTCTAACACCTATAAAAATAGTAAGTCTGTAGAAGTAATTTTTATAAGTTTGAGTACATTTATTTATGCAACAGTTAATAAAATATAACAATGTCAACAAATCGAGGTACAAATGAAAATATGCATAAATAAATATAAGCTTTCATATATCCTAAAACCTTTAATCACATGTGTTCAGTATCACTTTTATATTCTGATATATTATAAACATTCTCTATATACATACAATATGATTCTCGTTTTTCTAAGGAATTTTTGGATACCACTCAGTTTTTTATACTTATTCATATGTATTATATAGACCATGGGTTAAATATCTCAGGAAATGTTGTAGATGATTCCTATTACAATTATACCCTATACCTACAGCATGTTCTATTTTCTGCAAGAAAATGTCCCACCATGTCTAAGAAATTCACACCTGGATTAATCACTATCTGTGATTTATAACTCTTTCTTAGTGTTATCCATTACTGTCAGTAGTGTCCCTGTTAATCATAAAGTTACTTTTGTGTAGACTAAAGTCCTATTCTCAACTTTTAGTTAACTTTCCATCACTACAAACAAGCATATGAAAATAAAATTAACTCTATAAAGATCAAAGACTAATACCACTCTCAGTTTTGAAGTTCTCCATCAAAATTGAATAGCCCAAATCTTTTCACCTCTGGTGACTTTAACACACCATGGAGGGATCAAAAGCCAGAGCAAACTAGTGATAACCAATGAAGAAAGAGAGAGGTAAAGAGGACAGATGAGTCCAAAAATCCCCTTCACAGAGACAGTCCCAATGACCTAAAAGACTTCTCATTAAATCTACCTTCTAATAACACTTCAATAACACCTCTCAAGAATACTTTGTGTATTTGTTTTTGTTGGATTTAGGTTATTTTTTGTGTTCTAAGTATATTTTAGATATGAGACCCTTGTCCGTTGAATGACTAGTGAAGATTTCCCAATCCATGGGCTTTCTATTGATCTTGCTAGCTATGTCCTTTACCAGGCAGAAACTGCATTTTCATGCAATCCCATTTGTCCAACCTTTCTTTGACTTGTTGTGTTTCTGGGTCTTTTTAAGAAAATTTCAGCATGTGCCAAGGAGCCCTAGAGTTTCTCCTATTCCTTCCTATAATGTTTTCAGGGCGTCTGCTTTGACTTCAAGGTCTTTGATCCATTTAGAGTTGATTTTGATGTGGGTTGATACAAGGATCTAGCTTTAGTTTTCTACGGGTTTTTAACCAATTTTGCCAGCACCATTTACTAAAGAGGCTGTCTTTCTTCCATTCTAATTTTTTAGCTCCCTTATCAAAGATTAGGTGGATAAAGGTGTGTGGGTTCATTTCTGGGTCTTCAGTTCTATTCCATTGGTCTTCAGGTCTGTTCTTGTGCCAGTACCAAGCTATTTTGATTACTATGTCTTTGTAGTAGAGTTTGAAATTTGATATTGATATTCCTCCAGTACGGTTCTTTCTAATAATGATTGTTTTTGTTATTTGGGATCTTTTATTTTTCCATATGAATTTTTGGATTGCCTCTTCTATTTCATTGAAGAGAGAGGTTGGAATATTGATAGGTATCACACTGAATTTATAGGTAGCTTTTGGTAGTATTGCTATTTTCATGATATTAATCCTCCCGATCCAGGAGCATGGGAGGTTTTTCCACTTCCTAAGTTCTGCTTTTATTTACTTGTTTAACATTTTAAAGTTTTCATCATAGAGGTCCTTCACTTCTTTAGTTAACTCCTAGGTATTTTATTTTTTGTGGGGCTCTTACAAAAGGAGTTGCTTTCCTGATTTCAGCTGTGCTCGTCTCATTGTTGACATATAGAAAAGTCATTGATTTTTGAGGGTTAATTTTATACCCTGCTGCTTTGCCCAAGTTTTATATTAGCTTGAGTAATTTGGGAGTGGAGTCCATGGGATTCTTTAAATACAAGATCATGTCATCTGCAAAGAAGGGGAGTTTGCCTTCATCTTTCCCTATTTGTAGCCACTTTATGTTTGCATCTTTTCTTATTGCTGTAGCTAGGCATTCTGATACCAGATTGACACATAAAGAAATGCTCAAATTCTCTAGCCATAAAAGAAATTCAAATCAAAACAACATTGAGATTCCACCTCACCCCAATTAGAATGACTAGAATCAAGAAATCTAATAACAACAGATTCTGGAGATGATATGGCCAAAAGGGAACCTTACTGCATTGTTGGTGGGAGTGTAAATTTGTTCAATTACTATGGAAAGTAGCATGTAGGTTCTTCAGAAGACTACACATAGAGCTCCCCTATGACCCAGCAATCCCACTTTTGGGCATACAAGACCACACTAAAGGTACCAGCACAACTATGTTTATCACAGCATTATTTACCATAGCTAGATATGGAACCAACCCAGATCAAGAAAATGTGATACATACATACATACATACATACATATATATATATATGTATATATATATATATGTATATATATATATATGTATATATATATATATATATGTGTCGGAATTCTATGCCTCCATCAGAAAGAATGACATCAGCCGATTTGTTAGGAAATGGAAAGACTAGGAAAAAAATTATATAAGTGAAGTAACGAAGTAGCCCAGGCTCAAAGAAACATAGGTCCCATGGTTTCCCTTATTTGCAATAACTAGTATATGTCTGGCACAAGTAGAAAAGGTCAAAAGCTATGCACATATGATCAGAAAAGATGAAGTTAAGCAAAATGAACCCTAAGATAGGTACACAAGTGATGTTTTCTTTCTTACTATTGTTTCTAACATATTTATGAGTTGGTTTTTTTTGTTGTTTTGTATATCCCTACCCCACGGTATAACCCATGTTTTCACTGTATTTGATGTTGGTATAATTTGGGGAGGGGAAGGGAAAAAACAAATTGTTTAAATAGGGATACGGGGGACCCTCTGAAATAATGAAATATACAAGATGCTATGTCAAAAAATGAACTTTACAACTGTGGTGGGGGTGGGGATGGAGAGATGGGAGAGCAAGGATGGTAAGGGGAAACAAAGGAGGAGGCAACAATGCTTGATAAGAAATGTACTCATTATCTTGCTCATACAATTGTATTCCCTCTGTACAATATTTTCACAATAAAAATTATTTAAAAATAATTTTTAAAAATGCAGAACCATGGTCAACATTTTTCTTTTCTCTCTCAGACTCCTCAATCTGTGTGTAGCCAGAGTTGTGGCCCAGGATTCTGGAAAATTCCACAGGAAGGAAGACCTGTATGCTGCTTCATTTGTGACCTTTGTCCAGAAGGATACATTTCCAATCAGACAGGTAAAAATCATAAGCCCACTCTAAAGTAATTCGTCTCCCTGTTTCTCACTAACAAGAAACCACAGATATTAGCAACTCTCTATTCATAATCCACCCATTCTCTCAATCCATTTTGCTTATTTATTTTTCAGTTCTGGGTTTGAACTCAGGGCCTAGGTTCTCTCCCTAAGCTTCTTTGGCTCAAGGCTAATGCTGTACAACTTAAGCCACAGCTCTACTTCTGACCTTTTAAAAAATATTTTTATTGTAAAAATAGTGTACAGAGGGGTTACATGAGTACATTTCCTATGGAGCATTGTTACCTCCTCCTTTGTTTCTCTCCTACCATCCCTTCCCTCCCCACCACCCCAACTCTTCACCCCCTCCCCTCCACAAGTTGTAAAGCTATGTATATATGACCATATAAGATGATGTTTAGTGAAATGAACCGCAAGACAGGGACATAAGTGGTTTTTTCTTCCTTGCTACTTTTTTTAACTTACTTATAATGTATTATGTGATTTTTTTTGTTTTTTTTTGGATGTTCTTCCTCCCTGGTATAACCCCTGTTTTCACTGTATTTATTTCTGGTGCCCAGAATCTTGTATATATACTTTTCTAATTTGGGTAGGGGAAAGGAAAAAACAAAATGCTTAAATAGAGATACAGGTTGACCTACTGTAACAAGGCACTATGTTGAAAACGAACTTCTGACCTTTTTCGAGTAGTTTACTCAAAATAAGTGTTTCATAGACTTACTTTCTGGGCTGGCTTCCAACTATGATCCTCAGATTTCAGCCCCCTGAAGAGCTAGGATTACAAGCATGTGCCACTGAAGCCTCATAATATACCCATTTCTAAGATAACCATTATGCATCTGTTAAGTAAAATGTTTTCTTGGGGACGACTCATAATATTAAGTTCAATTATAGAACTGGTTCAATTATAGAACTGGTTCCATTGGCCACAATTGTTCACCATGCAGAGCTGAGTATGAGTCTCAGTGTGATAGTTCACTATGGTAAATATACTCATGAAATGTAAGAGATATATAACCCTCACAACTACCTGTAGTTTGTCAATAATAAGCACAGAGCAGGTACTCCTAATTTGCCATATAAATATTTTGTTATAATTTGGCCCATGTCCTAAATATAGTACAACATCTTAAGTTCAAATGATTAATATAAAATCCTGATATTTTAAATATTATGATACAATAACCAAAAGCATAAATGCATGAGGACACATTATTTTAATAAATGGTACTATCTAGTATCCCTAAAAAGTAGTATTTACTCAAGATATGTAAAGAGTTACATATCAAAATGAAATGTGTTATTGACAAACACAAAATACTGGTAACCTATTAAAATTTACTTTGCTTTTCAAAATATAAAAAATGATTATTGCAATACCTGCATAAATACTATATAATTTTTTTTTATCATTTTAGCTGTTGTAATCATTTGGTGAAAATTCTATCTTCAGGTATGTATAAATGAACAAAATAATACCCACCTTGTTTGTGAAAGACTTGAATCACCTAACAATGTGTAGAACAACTGAGAGAAAGAAAAGGCTGTGGTGCCAATAGCTCATGCCTGTAACCCTAGCTACTCAGAAGGTCTTCAGATCTCAGTCTGAAGCCAGCCTTGGTAGAAAAGTCTGTGAGACTCTCATGTCCAGTTAGCCACCAAAAAGCCAGAAGTTGTGCTTCACGTGGTAACCTTGAACCAAAAAGCATACCATATTCTTAACCTGCCACTTTATAAAGGGTTAACAACCCAGGATTTGGGTTATACAGGAATAGGAAATTTGAAAATGTAAACAATTCTTAAATTTTAAATTAAAACATCTATTATGCAAAAAGTTAATTATGTCACCAGGCAACATGGCTTATACCTGTAATCCTACCTAGTAAGGAGGCTGAGATTAGGAGGATGGTGGTTCAAGAACAATCTGAAAAGAAAGTTCCTGAGAGCCCAACTCAATCAATAAAAGCCTGGACATGGTGGTGCATATCTGTTGTACCAGCTGCACATAAATGGTAAATAAGAAGACTGCTATCCAGACTGGCATAGACAAAAAAATGAGAACCTACTCAAAAAAATGAATATTAATGGGCATCAGGACAGGCTCAAGTAGTAGAGCATTTTTCTAGAAAGTTCAACATCCTGTGTTTATATCCCAGTGCTGCCAAAGAAAATTAACACCAATTCAACCACATTCAAAACGAAAATATTTTTGATTCAACCAAACTAATTTCCATAATTATTTGGAAATATTCACAAGTATAGTCTCAAGAAGAAAGATATAGAGTATTGAAAAACACACTCTACTACATATCAAGTTATATAAGAGGTAACAATGCTCAATAGGAAATGTACTCATTACCTTGCTCATGTAACTGTAACCCCTCTGTACAGCATTTTTACAATAAAAATTACAAAAAAAGAAATACAAACCAATACAATGTTCAGAGGTCCCAAAAGGTTTAGAAATTTTAATTTCAATTATTTGGGTAAATATTAGAAGTATGGCCATAGAACAGTCATAATGAGAAAGAAAATGGGGAGAATAAAGGATTAGGACGAATACACATCCTGGGTAATACCACTGAGACATAGGTTGAGGAAATTGAGAACACCGAGATCCCAAAGATTCCTCTGGTATGGGTCTAGTATCATCTGTAGCTGAAGAATATAGAAATTCCCTCTAGGGTGTCTCAGAAAACATCACAAATGGTCTTTGCTTGCAATGACAATAGAGATGACCATTTTATTCAAAATGGCAACAAGGAAAATTTTGTTATATTCAAATACTGATTTATTTATTTTTTCCTCTCCAGATACAGTGCAATGTATTCAGTGTCCCACACATGAGTACCCAAGCAATGAGAAAAATCGCTGCCTCCCCAAGGTCATAACCTTTCTGGCATTTGAGGATTCTGTGGGGATGGCTCTCACCTGCGCAGCTCTGGGCTTCTCGCTCATCACAGCTGCCATATTAGGAGTTTTTGTGAAGCACCGTGACACTCCCATAGTCAAAGCCAATAACCGCACTCTCAGCTACATCCTGCTCATCTCCCTCCTCCTGTGCTTCCTTTGCTCCTTGCTCTTCATTGGCCATCCTAACACAACCACCTGTACCCTCCAGCAAACCATGTTTGCACTTGTATTCACCATGGCAGTTTCCACCATTTTGGCCAAAACCATTACTGTCATACTTGCCTTCAAAGCTATGAAACCAGGAAGAACAATGAGGTGGTTTTTGATCTCAGGAGCTTCTAACTCTATCATTCCCATTTGCTCCTTCATCCAACTAATTCTTTGTGGAATTTGGCTGGGAACCTTTCCTCCCTTTATTGACATGGACATACATATGGAACATGGCCACATCATCATCACCTGCAACACAGGCTCTGTCACTGCCTTCTACTCTGTCCTTGGATACCTGGGTTCCTTGGCCCTCACAAGCTTCATTGTGGCTTTCCTAGCCAGGAAGCTGCCTGACACATTCAATGAGGCCAAGTTCTTGACATTTAGCATGGTGGTGTTCTGTAGTGTCTGGCTCACTTTCCTCCCTGTCTACCACAGCACCAAGGGGAAGATCATGGTGGCTGTGGAAGTCTTCTCCATCTTGGCCTCCAGTGCAGGGCTCCTAGGCTGCATCTTTACCCCCAAGTGCTACATTATTCTTATAAGACCTGATAAGAACTCTTGGAAAGGTTTAAAGAACACAATAGCATCTAGGGAAAATAGACATACTGAGGGTCTAACTCATAAATCTTTATCACGTATTTGCCACCACTAAAACACCTCCAGTTTACATTTCAATATCATAAGTAAAACCAATGTACCATTTTAGATCTATCTACTTGTTTTAAGATCCATTGTGTGGATCTCAAAAAGAATTTCATTAAGTAAGTCAGGCATAGAGAGGCAAAAGGTAAATGCTTTCTGTAGTATGTGGAAGTTAGACTTAAAATACAAACCTACATGAAAACATATACAGGGTTATATGCATAAATAAACAAACAAATTGACTAAAGGCCTACATACTTAGTGGATCATTCCAAGAGTAAAGTTGCTTTAAACAACTAACGAACCATTTAACCAAATGAATACCAAGAGGTAAAGCACGTTTGGGTGGGGAGGGCAACAAGATGGGTGTACACAAATGAAGGGAGGAAGGATTAGTCAATATGTTCACTATATTCAACATATATTATGTAAAAATCAAACTTGAGGATAGGTTTGGGAGGGGGAAAGATTGGGGAAGAACAATTGAAAGGGTAAAATTGATCAAAATACATTGTACTCAAACCCCGACTTCTGGAACTGAAACTCATTTGTATAACTACTAAATAAAAATAAATAAATATTTTAAAAAGAGAAGATAAAGATCAATTGTGTAAAACCAACATTAATTACTCAATAAGTTATTATGCAAATATGAACACTACTAACCTGATCTAGTGTTCATGTTTGGATAACAGTTGTAGTTAATTCATCAAGGTAATGAAATTATATATGTTGAAGTAATTTTAATTTTGTTAATAAATTGACTGGCAGTTTTAAGTATGTATTTTGATAAAGTATATAATTTAGACATTTTGTCTTCCCTGGAGTTTCTTGGACCATGTTACCTTATCATTATATTGTATGTAGAAATTTGTGATAAGTAAATTAACTGATTATCAAGTTAATGTTTTATATATGTATGCTTTATTGACAATTGTCTCACTCATTATCCATCTGTTTTGAAATCTTCTTCTATTTTTTTTGAATTTTCAGCAAATTCAGCAAAACTTTTTCTAGAATACAAGAACAGATTTGCCCAGGGTAGAGTGCAATGATAGTTATTTTTAGAAAGTCAATGAATTCATCTTGGCAAAAACATCATGTTGAAGGAAAAAGGTTGCTCTGAAGTATTAATTAAAAATGGAAGCTAGGTTTTTCTGTTCTCTCCTGAAATACATATAAAGTTAAAATCATCTACAACTATGCCAGATCCAATCAGAGATTCTTTATCTCATTCCTGGAGAATTTCAATGTATACATAAAACCAAGTGTAAAAATCACATGTTGTAATAACTTACTGGGATTTGTTTTGCCTTTGCTTGACGTTTCCTTCTTTGTAAATTCACACCTGAGGGATAACTTTCTTCTACTGAAGTGAAATTCACATAAAAAATATGAACCTTTGTTTGTGTTTGTGCCAATCCTGTAGCTTGAATTGAGGGCCTACGTGGGCATTGTCCCTGAGCTTTTGATCTCAAGACTAGTGCTCTACTTCCAGCTTTTTGATAGTTAATTAGAGATTAGAGTTTCACAGCTTTTTTGCCCAGGCTGGATTCATGAACCATTTTAATACAAACACAAAAACAAGTGGCATCTATTATATTTACATTATGCAGAACACAGTCATAAAGTTGTGCCTCATTATTTCTATGCAGTTCCAAAATAAAATTATCACCTCATAATCAAACTCTGTAGCAATTAGTCAGGAAGTAATCCTCTTTAGTGTATTTCTATGGATTTTCTTGATAAGTCATCAAAGTAAAATAATATAGTGATCTATTGTGTCTGCCATCTTTCACAGAGCAGCTGTTTTTTGTGTTTTCATGACTGAATAACATTCCATTACATACACATGTTTTCCCATTCATCTAAAGATGGATATTTGGGTTGATTCCATCTTTTTTTCTTGTGACAGTATCTCAATATTTGTATACAAATATTTGTTTGGATACATTAGAGGGCTGGGGATTTTTGTTTCTTTGTTTTTATTTTGTTTTGTTTTTTGGCAGTCATGGAGCTTGAACTCAGGGCTTGGGTGCTGTCCCTGGACTTTAGTAGTCAAGGCTACTACTCTACTACTTTAAGCCACAACCCAATTCCTGTTTGGGAGTGATTAATTGGAGATAAGAGTCTCTTGGACTTTTCTGCCCAGTCTGGCTTCAAACTGCGATCCTCAGCTCTCAACCTCCTGAATAGCTAGGATTACATGTATGAACCACCAGTGCATGCCTGGATATGAGGTTTTTTGGTTTGTTTGTTTTGGTTGGTTTTGGGGCCTGAACTCTGGTCCTGGGCACTGTCCTTCAGCAGTTCAGCTCAAGGCTAGCACTCTACCATTTGAGCCACAGTGCCACTTCTGGCTTTTTCTGTTTATGTGGTGCTGAAGAATCAAACCCAGGGCTTAATGCATGCAAAGCAAGCACTCTTCCACTGAGCCACCTTCCCAGCCCCGAGGATATGAACTTTTTATTCCTCTATGTTTAGAGCATGTTGAGGAAGGGCTGGTCCTATGGAAATTGTAAGGGTTTCTTTTTTTTTTTTCTTTCTTTTTTTTTTTTTTGCATGGTCTTGGGGCCTGAACTCTGGGACTGTGCACTGTCCCTCAGCTCTTCAGCACAAGCCTAGCGCCCTACCACTTGAGCCACTGTGAAACTTCTGGCTTTTTCTGCTTATGTAGTGCTGAGGATTTGAGCCCAGGACCTCATGCATGTGAGGTAAGTACTCTACCACCAAGCCAACTTCCCAGCCCAATTCTGTCAGGTTTTGAAGAAGCACTGAAGTTTCTTCCAAGGCAGCTGCTTCATTACACATTCACACACACACACACACACACACACACACACACACACACACACACACACACACCACTATTAAAATACATTTCTAAAACAGTTGGAAAACATGAAATAGATGTGGTTGGGGATGGGCTATGTAGTATATCTTTGTAAATAATACATGGGAATATCTGGCTTTAAATTGACTTTCAAACATTATAGGTGAGTAAGAGAACTATTTTTCACTCTAAATATGACATTTCTGTTGGTGAAAGTTTTTTTAAATTATTCCAGTATGTTAAAAATCTCCAAATAACCAGCAGAAACCTGGAACTGGAGCTTCCATTGATAGAACACCAATCATGAGCAAAAAATCTGGGTGAGAGTATAAGGCCTAGAGTTCAAACCTCAGTAGTGACACACAAAAAAGAAACAGTATTAAAACAAACCTCAACTTAATCAGACAAGCTGTCTCAGACCCTTCTAGTTTGGACATTGAGGGCCCTGATAAATACATCATAGACTAGGAACCTGAGAACCTGCCAGGGTTTGCTGGTACCTGGCTCTAAACTGCTAATCCTTTAACTCTGCAGATGACAGTAGGTCTTTCTTCTGGAGATAAACACAGGTTAGTTAGTTTGTGACAATGTAAATTTTTCTGTTGTACTTGAGATTTGAATTCAAACAGAAATAACACTTTGCAATCTAAACTCTACCATTGACTTCCCTAAAGTGCCAAGATAGTTATTTTACAATTCACAATTATTCTTTCATATTTTTATCCTCCCCTCTTCGAATTTTATTTACTTTTCTTTTTTATATACTAAATTAGAAGTTGAAATTATGGCTTTGAGAAATGCAAACTAAAACAACATTGAAATTCCACCTCACCCAGTTAGAATCACCATTATGAAGAAAATTTAAATTAACAGATGTTAGCAGGGATGTGGCCAAAAGACAACACTACTACACTGTCAGTGCAATGTACACTTGGTCAGCCACTCTGGAAAGCATTACAGAGGTTCCTCAAAAGACTAAACATAAATCTTTTCCATGGCCCAGCAATCCCACTCCTATCTATCCAATAGTTCACAAACAAGGCCATCCTGAAGAGACCAGTACAATAATGTTCATTGTAGTATTGTTTATCATCACCAATGAAATCAATTCCATATCCATATGGAATCAACCCAGATGTCCCTCATAAGATGAATGGATCAAGAAAATGTATCATATATCAACAATGGAATTCTATGCTTTCATCAGAAAGAATGATGTAATATCATTCATAAGGGGAAATGGATAGACTTGGGAAAAATTATATTATGCAAAGTAAGCCAGACCTAGAGAAATATAAGTTGCATAGTTTCCTTCATTTGGAGTAATTAGAGAGTGCCTATAAATCTACAAGTAAATACGATTGACAGTAAAATTAGACTTGGACATGATAAATTAAACAGGACTCTATCATTCACACAGTGAGACCAAACCAGATATTCATAGGAGAGGATCATAAAGTTTCAATAGCTATGTGCATATGATCATATATAATGATATGTCTCAAAAATGAACTCCAAGAAAGGGATAAAAGAGGTTAGTTGTTATTTTGCTTTTTTTCTCTTTTGTCACTCTTTTTTTTTATTTTATTATAAAGATGCTGTACAAAGGGGTTACAGTTACATGAGTAAGGTAATAAGTATATTTCTTGTTACACAATATTATCTACTCCTTTGTTGTTCTCCCACTATTCCTTCCCTCCCCCACTAATCCCCCCCTCCCAAAGTTGTAAAGTTCATTTCCAACATAGTCTCTTGTGAGTATCATTGTTGCAATGGGTCATCCTTTGTCCTTCTTTCCGCATTTTGTTATTCCCCATCCCTTCCCCAAATCAGATAAATGTATATACAAGATGGAGGGTACCAGAATCAAAGACAGTGATTGCCAGGGATAAACCAATGGAAAAAGAAACAAATAAAATAAGAAGAGAGGAATAGATACAGTAAATTGGAAACCTGGGCATTTATCCAAATGAGCATAAGCTAGGCCACACTGAAGCTACCAGCACAACTATGTTCGTTGCAACATTATTTACCATAGCTAAGATATGGAACCAACCCAGATGCCCTCAATACGTGAATGGATCAGGAAAATGTGATATACATACACAATGCAATTTTATGTTTCTATCAGAAAAAAATGGCATTGCCTCTTTTGTAAGGAAATGGAAAACCTTGGG